AAAAAAAAAAAAAAAAAAAAAAAAAAAAAAAAAAAAAAAAAAGGCTAAGTCTACCGAGGGGCAAAAATGTTATTTTGCCCCTCCCAATAGGGTTCAAGGAAAACCCCATCAAACCTCGTGCAAAAGAAAAAAAAAAGAAGTTAGAGAGAAAATTGAGAGGAAACAAAAAAGATTTGCTGCGAAGTTTCGTTGGACCACCGTCGAAATCTACCTTCAGACGAGACCTGTACAAGGACTGAAAGCTAGCGAGGCCGACGCTCCGTTAAGATCCAAGAACGTTTCGCGAGGTAAGTAAATGAACGACATTTTTCAGATCTGAGCTTTTCCTATGTGAATCGAGTCCTAAAATGTTGATATATTCACCCAGGAACAACTCTAAACATGATTTGTGAAGAAGTTTGGCCGAAATCTTGATCCAAAGGCGGAGATCCGAGAATCGTTCGAGATCGGTAAACGAATTTCAAACGCTCTTAACTCGTCTGGTAGTTAAGCAAAAATTACGAAAAAAAATACCACGACGTAGCCCGTAACACGATCTAGAACCTTGCCTAGGAAACCATATCGATCCGAACTTCGAATCAAAAGATATGAAAATTAAAAAAGAAATGGCTCTTTGTTACAGATTGAGGATAGAGAGAAGAAGGAGAAGAAGAAGAAAAATTCGCCAGTCACGTTTCGGCCGGCGAGCGGCGGAGTGCGGCTGAGCAAGCGTTGGACACGCGTCGATCGTCGGCTGGAGCAACGTAGCTCTAGTGATACGACGACACGCGTCGTTTGCAAACCCTGAGCCGAACCGCAATCCCGAGCTAAGCTGAGCCAAACTGAACTGCTCGACCCGCGATTGCGCAAAAGCAACCGTGCGTGGTAGTCACGACTGGTGTACTTCCTCACACATGGTCGGCGCATAGCCGACACGTGAGACACCCGCTTTGTGGATGTTTTATATTTGAGTTTTATGAGAATAGGGTTATAACCCGACTCGAACTACCTAAAAATGGGGTTACAATCCAACTCAATCCTACCATACTTTTAAAGTTATTATGAAAATTAAGAATATTTGCCTTTATTATTGATGCTAGTGATAAATTGTAACTTGTGAATGTTTTATATTTGAGTTTTAATGAGAATATGGTTATAACCCAACTCGAACTACTTGAAAATTGAGTTACAACCCAACTCAATCCCACCCTACTTTTAAAATTATTATGAAAATTAAGAAAAGTTAAGGAAATAGGATCTCATCGATATGTGACACTGAGTAAAGGAATGAGACATAAATGTACAGAGACCACGTCTGAATGAGGATAGGATGTCTAAGAAAAATTTAAAAGAACTAAAAGTTAATAACTATAATAGCCCGATGTGTATGTGAATGAGAACAAAACATATTGGAAGGGCGTGTGTTGATATATGTGAATAATTTTCACTCTTAAAAACGAATAGTAAATAACATAATCATGTCGCAGAGGAACATAGGAACGATAATCAAGTTTCAAATCTAATAAAAAAAAATCGATTTATTGTTTTGTTTCACATATACTTCCACATATTACCATACAAAAGAATAGAAATAATGGTTTTCCTTGCTCATAAAACAAATATTATGTCATGGTAGCCTCGTAACTACGTACACACAAGGCCACATGCTAGAGATGCAAATACATCAAGTTTCATCATACAAGTTTCCCTACAAGCAACTACTCGGTTCAACACGACCAGTAGCAGTTCCTCCTACGTGGCTACATGTCGCTCCAGCTATTTGATCCTTATAAGAAAGTTGTACGTCTTCCATTTTTATTCCACTGCATGGATTTGTTGGACTACAATCGAATTTCACTGCAATTTGAGTGGCTGATGTTCCGTGAATGTCTTGGTACGTCACGCCACTGATTTTGACTCCTGAAGCCTGTTTGATGCAAACAAGAAGAAATTTAAGGAAGGGTTAACAATTGAAATATGATCAAGAGCCGTAAATTGAAAGTCCATTTGAATGGCTTACAAATCATGTATATTACCTGACCCGGACAATCTTTGTGACTTGGGCAATAATTTTGGTCAATGACAATTGGATTTTGTACGTTGTCCATGACAATATGTTGGAAGAGAATATTCTTAACAAACCCATTGCTTGGCCTACCCCATGCCTTGATTCTCACCCCATTTTGGGTGCGTGAAAATAAAGCTTTTTTAATGGTCACGTTTTGCACTCCAGCCTCTTCTAAGTCCTTTGCTAGACTTCCGATGCTACAAAATCGACCAAACGTATTTACTTATGAGTTTTACATTTTTATTTTTTCGCATACAAGTTTTGAATATAATAATAATAATAATTGAACCTACCTTATTCCATGGCCTGGCCCACAAACAATATTCTCAATCCACAAGCTAGATGTCCCAGGGCCGATGGATATGCAGTCGTCTCCTGTGCCTATTTTGGAGTTGAGTATGGTCACATCAGATGATAGTTGTACGTGAATGCCATCAGTATTGGGACTGTTGCCCGAAGCCAAGACCACAAGTCCTTTCATTTTGATATTTTGGCAACCATTTACCACTATGTGAAACATTTGACTATTGAGTGAGGTTAATGCACTAAGCACTACATTCTTTGAGTTCGAGATTTCAATTGTCTGCACAAATGAAGACATTAAAAAAAAAAA